AGACAGAAAGATAGTAGTGCCAAAGATAAAGAGCACAAGAGAAGGTAAGAGAAGAAACACTGACAGACAAGTCATATTCCTGAGTCTCACCCCATAAATGCCAGATGAGAAAGGTTAACAATGACGTTTATTATCACTAGCTGGAGATGATAAGCAACTTTTGTTTTAGTTTTTATACTTCTTTTTTTAACAATGAATATGTATTTTTTCCATAATCAGAAAACTAGTTACTTCAAAACTAAATTTTAAAAAAAGAACAGATACTGATTGAAAATGTGTTTTTTCTAGGCTCCATCAGATCAGTAAATTTTGCTTACTTCCAGCATTGGTCTTGGTGGGAAGCCAGTGGTCCTTTTGCAAACAATCCCTAGAGTGTAATCAGACTGACTCCAGGTTACTGGCATCCTCACATCTCTGACACTACTTGGTGCACTGTCCTGTGCAGGACCTAGAAGTATGTTACACCTGGGGATTTTTGCAATCTAAGGACCAGCTATTGCCATCTTTGACTGTGTGGTACCTTCAGCCATTGCTATCGTGTGAACTGGCACATTCGTGTTCATGCCATCTCTTCCCTCCCAGGATTGACTTCTCAGTGCCTTTGACTGGGTCTCTAGAACTTCTGTGTCATCATACATAAAACCTCCACATCTTCAACCTCCAGAGCACCCCTTCCTCGTTTTTGCTGAAGTTCTCTTGGAAGGATGCTGATATGTGGATGCCCCTATGTCAGAGCTGGGGAATGGTTTTGACATTTTCCCCATTAACTGTAATCGTGCTTCCAGACCACAGTGACATCCTTCTCCTTTTGTCTTTGATGTTTTCACCATCTGGATAATTCTTTCAGTTATTGTTACTGGCATGTGTGGATTTCCAGGTCAGTCCAAATACTCATCAAGAATTTAATACCCAAGACACAGCTTTCCCCTACACAACTCCTTGCACTTTCTTAGGCAGTTTGGCACCTGTCTGAATGTCTTCCAAACTTGTGATTTTCACAGTTCCATGACTTCCTTCATTCCAGAGAATCATCTCCTCCTCCAGGAATTTTTCATTGAAAATAGTTCTAGCTCTGAAACACTGAATTATAGTAAAAATCTCTGTAACCAGAACTTTCTCTTCCCTTTCACATTATCTTCTGGATTCTGGTTGTACAGTGCTATTTCTCATCACAATGCTTTGCTAATTAGTATACTCTTTCTTTCTCCCACTGGACTGCAGAAACTGTCATTTATTTATCTTGGCACATCCGAGAGCAACTGAAGAGCCTAGAACATAGCGTGTATTTAATAATCATTGGATCGATGACACAATTGTAGGAACTGGTACCAGATTTATGGTTTCCATGGGATCTTCAGTGACAAGCAGCATTGTTTTTATGAATTTCTGGTTAAAGTTTCTCAATTTCTCATAGCGATTTTCCAAAACTTGTTTATTCTGTTAAGCTCTCTACTTCCTCATTTTCATCAGAGGAAATAGAAGCTCTAAAAAGTAAGTTCCTTGGTGCCCTGTTCATCAGAGGTGTCCTCCCTTCTATTCAAGACTAATCTCTCACCTGGGCTGCAAATCCCATTCCCAATTCCATCTTTTCTATAACCTCACTCCATCACCATCCCTTCTCTCCCTTATACCTTCAACCTCTTGAACTTTGCCGCTTTCTGCTCCTTACATGGAAGAAAATACAAAGCTCTGGCATTAGATACTTTTCAAAGGACTTTCTTTAGACCCCCAAGATGGCTGTATGTCGCTCTTCATTTTTTTATTTTACTCAAGAATTTTAGAATACTTGCTGTTCTCCATTTTATGCCACCTCTATTTCACTCCTTACCCATGGCATTCCTCCTGTTGCCTTCCACTCCAAATTCACTGCTCTCACCAGTGACTTCAAAAGGATCAAATCAAACAATCCCTTTTAATTCTTATTTTTCTTTATGTCTCTGTATATTTTATTCTATTAACACTTATCTACAGTCTTAAAACATTATTGACTTTGGCATTCATCTGTTCAACAAATATTTATTGAGCACATGCTTGAAGTCAGATACTGTGCAGTGTATTTGGGAAACTATGCTTAAAGAGAGATAAGACCTTTTCCTTATGGAACTGAGACTTTCTAGAAAGGGAGAGATACAATAAATAAGTAAGTGAACTGGTTATTACATGTTATGTTAACTTCTAAGAAGGAGTTAAGTAAGGCAGTGATTTAGAGACAAAAATGGGTAGAATATTAGAAGGCATATTTAAAATGCTCTAAAAAGGACATTCAAATAAAAACCTGAAAGACAAGACTGAGACATCCATGGAGAAAAGATGGTGGGGAGTATTCATGAAGAAGAAGCTACAGTTTCAGGAGCATAGGGGGATGCCAAAGATCTCACATGTGTTGGGAATTGGGAAGAAGCCAGTGCAGGGGAGCATGTGCTGGAAATTAAAGCTGGAGGTGAGATCGGAGGGCTGCATGGGGGCTAAATGATTAAGTCTGGATCTTGTACTAGAGAAGAGGAAAGCCACCGAAGAGAAAGGAATGACATGATCTCACTTAACATTTTAAAAAGACAACTCTGGCTATTAAGTGGAGAATGGATGGTGGAGAAGCTTAGGAGAAATGAGGAGACCAGATGCAAGGGTAAGGAAAAGATGGTCACTTGGACTCAGGACTTGAAGTGTTTAGATTTCATATTTGCTCTTGAGTGGAATCAGAGTGCTCATTGGAATGGATATGGAGCTTGGAGGGAGGATAAATCAGGCATGATTCCTAGGTGTTTGCTTGAGCAACTGGTTGGACAGCAATTCAGTAACAGGTGGAAGAATGAGAGAATAACAGGTTTGAAAAACAGAGACAGTCAGGTGCTCAGTTTTGCACATGCACATATAAAACATGGCATAGCAGGTGGCGTAGTAGTTAAGGCTGCGGACTCTCACATGGTTGACCACGATTCAAGTCCCAGATCTGGTGGCTTGAAACATGTGTTGGGTATGTGTGCGTGCATGCCCAAAATCCCAAGAGGAGAATGGGGAAGAAGGGATTGCTGCATGGCCATCCCCCCAGGTCAGAGGATTTCTTGTTTTATTTTATTTTATTTTTTTCTCACTGTCTCTGTCGCTCCAGAAACACACATGCCCTATAACAAAAATCTCTCAAAAATGAGATAAAATAAAGCATGCCATGGCTATAAGACCTCTAAGTGGAGATGTCAAACAAACACCTGGAAGTATAAGCGAGTGGCTCAGGGGAGAACTCAGCGCTGGAGGCCTAAATTAAGGAGACATGCACTTAGAATGTGGATGCCACAGGACCAGATGAGATCTCTAGAATAAGAGCATAAATAGAAAAGTAACTATGCTCTTTCATGCTTCTGTACTTTTCAGATGACCTAATTTCCCTCCTCCACCTGTCAATCTTACTCTGTCTTTAGGATCAGAGTCAAGGTCACCTGCTTCTTGAATCTCACTTTGAACCCTCCAGGATA